GAAGGGCGCTGGGATGCGCGCAAGACAGCCGTCGAGTGGAGGCGGAGGAAGCCCGCTTCTGCGATCTTGACTCTTTTGACCGCCACCCCCCTCCCCCCGCCGATGCCCTGCACTGGCCCATCAACTCACCAGGCGGGCCGGGATCATCGAGCACGCGAAGCCGCAAGAAACCTAGCATCGCCCAGATTTTACCTGTTCTGTTTCAACTTGCGTGAACGCTGCCCGCGAGATCCAGGTGAACCCCTTTAGTTAGCAGGCTCCCTCCCCAACCGGCATGCTGCTTGGAAGGAATGTCCCTCCCACCCCACCCCACTGCACCAAACTGCTGTCCCCAGCATCCTGCATTTGGAGGTAGAGTTCCTCTGATCGTGGATGCTCCCTCTTTAGCTAGCCTGTTGGATTCCTCTCCCAGAGGCTTTTGCGGCACCCATGGATGCATCCTGGGCACAGAGTCAGGGCATCACTGAGACTGCTGGCATCTCTCAGCTGCCCAAGACTTCCAACCCTGGAATGAGAAGGTTTCAAATCCGGAGTTCTTCCTTGGGGACAAGAGGATCTGCCTCTTTCAAGATAGATCAGACTTGTCTCTGAGAAGGTCCTAATGAAAGAGACCCCCAAGCCAGGATTTCGATGGTGGGGTGCAAAATCTTTCCTCTCTTTGCCAGCGTGCCTGCACAGCTCTCCCCAAAGGGTCTGGATAGCAAAGCTTCCACATTGTCAGAGGCCAGCCTCCCCCAAGTAAAGAAGCCCCTAACTTGGGCTGCCACGGGGCAGGGAACTCCGAAGCACAGATGGCCCCATCTGGCCCCAGAGACGAACCTTTCTAGCCTTCCAGGACAACCCTCTAGACGTGCACACCTTAGTAATTCAACAGGAAGGCCATGGGAGTAAGAACGGTGAAGGTGGGCTACGTCTTAGCTGCCTCCCTGCTGGAGCACCATTTAAGCTACTAAAAGGGTGAAATTGTAGGAGGAGAGTCATGTTAGTCTGTGGTGGCAAAAATCAGGAGGAATCCGGGAGCCCCTTTTCCGACTAGCAAATTTTATGAAAAGACATTAAGCTTTTTGAGCTGCATCTCCTGTCATCCAATGTTTAGAGCAGTGTTTTTCAACCTTGGCAACTTGAAGATGCGTGGAGTCACTGGCTGGGAATTCTGGGAGTTGAAGTCCATGCATCTTCAAGCTGCCAGGGTTGAGAAACCCTGGTATAGAGTGACTAGATTGATGTAGGCCAGATGGATGTAGGACTGATGGCGATCAATGTCCTACATCACTGGAGCCCCCCCACGCATCAGATAAAGGGAGATGCAGTTCACAAAAGCTTAATGCCATTTAATAAAACATGTTAGTTGGAAAAGGTGCTACCAGACTCCTCTTGATCTGAAAGGGTGCACACATCCTGAGCCAACCTGTTCTTCATCTTCATCCCCAGTGGAGGCAGGACCATCCAAGGTTTTGTTGTTGTTGTTCAGTCGTTCAGTCGTGTCCGACTCTTCGTGACCCCATGAACCATATTGCGCCAGGCCTTCCTGTCCTTCACTGCCTCCCTGAGTTTGCTCAGGTTCCAAGGTTTGCAGAAGGGTAAACCAAGGTTGAGAATTTGGTGGGGTTGGGCTGAAAGAGGTCATTCAGAGTGCCTCGCGTTACCTCCATGGGACCGGTGTCTCCACCAGCCATGCCAATGGTATCACAAGTCCAATCCCCCCCCCCAATTCCTTTAAAAAAAACATTTTGAGTTTTGATCAACTGCCTTTCGGTGGCTTCCCAATGTCTTCAGCATGGGAAGTCTTTTCTCATCTGAAAACTGGAGATGGTTTTAGTAGAGAGAGCTTTGTACCCCATCTGGAGGAAAGATAAGGCTTAATTTTAAAAAATCCATAAAATCCACAGGAGATGCCAGGACCCGAGCCCGAGAGAAAACGCCTGCCACAGCGTGAGGGCCTTGGATGTTTCTGCTCATGCTGCATCTGAAGGTGGCAGCAGGGGCCAAAATTACCAATGCCAGCTAAATTGCCAAGGTGGGAGGGAGCTTCCAAGACCTCTCTGCTGGCAAAGAAAAAGACTTTGCCAATGGAAGAAGGGAAAATTCATCCTAAATGTGATCCTGGAAAATATTATAAACACTAATATTCTGCTTAATGAAAAACTCTTCCAGATAAAAGGCAAAGATGAAAACACTGTTTTGCTGCTTTTTTGCAAGGAGCTCTGGTTCACAGTAAAAAAAATGGTTTTTATACATTTATTTAACGACATCCCTGTAAAATTCCTCATTTTCTTCATCCTTGACTCACTAACTTTTCCACCAACGTATGAAAAGAGTGTTTCAGCCCTCGGCTTAAGGAATAGTCCTCACGCGGCACTCAGGGCCAAAAGAGCACTTGCTGGCGATTGGCATCACTCCACTAACGAAGGTGAGAATTACTTCTCGAAACCGCTCAGCTCGGCTCCAGCAATGCCTTCAGTCACCCCACATTTGGGTGAGTTGCTTTGCAGAGATGCTCATCGGCCAGGGATTTAAATCCAATGGCTTCGAAGCCTCCGTAGCATCGCACACAGCCCCCTCTGGGCAGTGCATGCCACGAATGGCGCTGTTGGAGAAGTAAGAACCCCCTTTCCCAGGTAGCTCTTCCTCCCCAAGGGCACCCGCTCTGTTGGTGTGCTCGGGGGCGTCTGCTGAATACTGGCTGCCCCCCGCTCTCAGCCACTATGTGAGGCCCCAGGCCTGGCGGTGCCTCGAGTCCAGCCCCATCTGGTGACCTCACCCAGGGCTTTGAGTGATGAACTTGGGAGGCCGCTGCTGAGAATCCACTAACACCACTGGATCCCGCCCCACAGACACGCCCCTTGGCTGCCTGCAACATTAAAGTGGGGTTCCCCTGACTACTATAATGTGCTCTACGTGGGGCTGCCCTGGAAAAGTATCCAGAAGCTTCAGTTGGCTCAGAATGCAGTGGCCCGCATAGTTTGTGCAAGCCTAGATTTGCACGTGTCACCTCTCTCGCAGGAGCTGCAATGGCTGCCGATTTGCTTCCAGGCCCAGTTCAAGGTGCTGGCTGTCACCTTTAAAGTCCTACACGGCCCGGGGCCAGATTATTTGAAGGGCCGCCATTTCCCAGTTTCATCTGCCCGACCCACCAGATCGGGAAGGCAGGGTATGTTACGGGTCCCTCCTATTAAGGAGGCCCATCTAGTGGGACCAAGAAGGGCCTTCTCCGTGGCAGCTCCCTCCCTGTGGAACATCATCCCCGCAGAGATTGGACTGGCCCCCACCGTGATGCTCTTCTGCAAGGCCCTGAAGACATGGTTTTGCCAGCGGGCCTGGGGACCCCAGGTCGACCCGAAGCCCATCAAATGGCAGTGAAAATGTACTGTTGTTGCTGGGGGGCGGGTGGTCGTGGAGTAGGTTTTGTATTTGGGATTTTTATTCCTGTAAGCCGCCCAGAGTCACTGTGAGTGAGTTGGGCGGCCATATAAATTGCTTAAATAAATAAATAAATAAAATAATCACAGCATGCAGCATTGCCAAGAGGTGCCCATGTTCTGACTTTTAACCCCCCCACTAAAGCCTCTGCAACTGTAGCCGCAGCCCTGGACAGCCACCCTCGGGCCCCACCCCTTGCAGAGCCTCCCCAGCGTCTTGAAACCCCCGCCCTTTGCAAACCACAGAGCCGAAGCTGTTTTCAAATAATTTATTAGGAATTTAAAACAGAAAATCTGGAAAAAAAAGGGGTTACAGGTATGGCGAGAACAAACATTGACGTGTAATAAAACTGGCTTAATAAAAAACACAGCTTTATTTTCTTTTAAAAAAGAAGGTCGGCATAGAAGTAGCCCAGCATGTGTGCCAAGGAGGAGGTACAAGAGTGCCACGCGACAGTCGCGCCCCCCCAGCTGAAGACCAGAATAAAATTAAACCCATTCGATCTGGCTTCCCCAACCTGGAGCTCCCCCTGCTGGTGGGGATGAGAGGCGCTGCGGTCCGTCCTCTCCAGAGGCACCGGTTTTGGGGGAGGCTGTGACAGATTGTGGCTGCTCTTTTATTTCTTCTTTAGAAAAAAGAAAAACAAAACCCAGACAAACATACTCATCTGAGTAACAAAAATTATTGCTTTGTGTTTCCAGTATTAATTAGCTGAGTTTCCCTCTGTTCTCCTTCTGCCACCAAGACAACTCTCCCAATATTTTCACGCTGCGTAAGGGGGGAATTGTGCCCGTAGAGTCGGAGGGCAAGGAAGGGGTGAAGGACGGAGGCGAGGGATCTGTGGGGACAAGGCGGGCATCGCAGGAGAGGGAGGCGGTTTGCGCAATCCGCAGGATCAAGCAAAACCGCTTCGCTTCGGATTTAGGCTGATCGTGGCAAAACCCGGCCGTTAAAAACTTGAATTAAAAGTAACTTCTGGCAGACAGAAAACCAGCATGCAAGGAATAAGATTCCTAGGCCCCTGATTCCCCATGGCATTTTCTCCATGTAGGGAGAGGGGAAGGGGGACACTTAAAGGTGGGCGTTTCTCTTCCTCTGCCACTTCAGTCTGAAACAGAAAAACTTGGAAAAGCTTAATTGCTTGATGCTGCTAATAGCACGCTCCAGTTCTCTCTCTCTGCCATCCCTCCATTCTGCCACGGGAAGCAATTCTAGGTTGCCCTAAACACTGCTTGGCTGTGGCTTCACCGGGAGTCGAGCTCCACCTGAAGGGAAGTCTTGTTCAGGACAACCTTGACTGCCACCCTCAACTGGAAACGATGGCAGGCCCTGCGGTCACGTTTGGCCCTTTCCTACCCCCACCCCGGGTGCCCTGTTAAAACCTCCACTGCCTCCCCCAGCCCAGCCTCCGCATGCCCGGGGCTGCAACATGCAGAATTCCTTGCCCGCAAGGCCATCGCATCTGGAAAGTCCCAGATAGGAAAAACTACCCTCCATAATGCAGTAACCAGAGCTGGCCACCCTCTGGACAGACACCGGGACAAAGCAAAGTGACAGGAGTGGGACAGCTGACCCCTCTTGCGGCACCCAGACAAAATCTATTTCTCCGTTTAATTTCTGTATCGGCGCAATTTTAAGACTCTTGGCAGAATGCAAAACCGAGCCTCGGGGAGACCCTGCTGCCCTTCCCCAAACAGCTGCTGTGTGGCAGAAGCCCCCCGAGGGCCACCGAGGACAGCCCTGTTCCCCCCACCCACAGGCAAAGGGTGTAATGCGAATGCAGCACAAAGAGAGGGCAGACCCCCAACCTTCTCTGGGGGCCACCGCCTCAAATGGAGGGGAGGGGAGGGGGCAAGCAGAAAGGAGGGGTTCATCTCATAAGAAGAGAACCTCAGTTCATAGCAAGCAAAGGGCTGGAGTGGGAAAGGCGGGGGATGCGCTGGAGAAAGTGAGCGGGGGTCTCTCTTCTGGAACACGCAGGCTGCTGCTCCTCCAGGCGCCAGAAACCTGGTTTCCTGATATGGTCAGGCTCAACTATCTGGTATTGTTTTTGCACCTCGGTTACACGTGGTTGGAGAGAAAGAAAAAAATGTGCCGGTGGGATCAGGAAAGGCCGGGCTTGCCTCTCCCCCAGACCCCCAAGAAGGCCTGGGCCTCCTCCCCTCCCTTGCCTCCTTCGCCAGAGACGGAGCAGATGCCGTCCCTAAGACCCTCTCAGCCCCTCGCAGACCGCGACCCCCTTGGCAGAAGGTGGCAAATATTGAGAGAGTTGCACGTGGTTCCAAGCATCAACAGAGGCCAGCCGCGTGGCCGAAGCGCTCCGTAGGCTCAGGCCGCACGAGCGGCGACGTCTGCCATTCCTCTTGCTCAGCAAAACAGGCCCTGCTGGTTACGTGGCTCCCACCCGACCCCCTCCCCACCCTGTCTCTCCCCCCCGACGCCTTCCGCCCCTGCCCT